TGTGATTAGGGCCAACAGGTACCATGGAACATGAAATCATGGGCCAGAAGATCTCAGCAGGACATCCCCCTTAACAGGGCAGTCTCTCAACCCCCACTGCATTTGCTCTGGAGTCTGTGTACCCCATTATAGGACCTGAAGAGAGTAAGGAAATGACAAACCTTTTCTGCAGAGAAGGGTGATTTCATTTTTTTATCAGCTGGACTGCATGGCACTGTTGCATTAAGAGTGTTTATAGTTATATAGAGAGACACAGATATCCTTTATAATGAATGTTTTTATAAATAATATCATACCTGCAAGGACTATTCTACTACAATATGAGACTAAATAAATGTTGAGGTGAGCTAAATTCAAAGATTGAGGAAACGATTGTCTGTGAAGTTGAATGATCTGGGTCAGTTGCTGAAGAGCATTCTGGGCCTGAATTGCAAAGACTTAAGGAAATACAAGTGAGTGGAAGTAGTTTTGCACTTTGTATTATACAAAATGTGAAGTTTAGACAGCTGCTGTTAATTGTCATAATTCACTGGCTTCAGTGGTGCTGACAGTTGTGCCAGCTCAGGAGCTTCCCCTGTGCACGATAATTTTAGTATCTACTTCAGTATCTGTAATTTAGTACAACAACTGGTAATGTCATTCCAGACCAGTTACGGTAAGGACATAAATGATGAACATTTCTCCTCCTCTCTCCAGTTCTATTTAATACTTTGTTAAATATTTTAACACAGTGGACTGTGTTTTCCTCTCCTTAGTGCTTTGGCAGCAAATAGTGAGTTTCCAATTCTCACAATATGGTTTTCTTATATAATGGAGACTTCCCTGCAAGTAGATCACAAAGAGGAGACAGATGGTAAACGTAACTTAGACTGTGCCATGAAGGGCTTATTTATAACTCACAGTACCCAGGAGGAGAGCAGGGGCCTCCCGAAAGGAGAAATCACCGAGGAACTAGACTTTTTTTAAAGTCCTGGCTTCATACTCCTGTTGTAAAGAGCAGTGCTCAGTGCAGGGAAATGCTGGTATTTTTCATGTCTTGTGTGAGGGTGTAAATTGTGACTCTGAAGATCAAGATTTTTTTTGAAAGAAAGGAAATTTTATTCTTTGTGGGAGGGTTTTTTAAAATCTGGTTAAAGCTGCTCAGCTTTTTTTGATCAATTGAGGACTCTGACCTCCTTTCAGAAATGGAAATTAATTAAATTTAAGGAGATGGATTTGGGGACTTGGGAGCCATCAAACCTGTGTCCCCTTAATGGTTTTCTTTGTTCACTTCATTTTGCCTGAAGTAGGGTCTTAGGGAGGCAGCACGAGCCTTGAGAAAGTGCTAAGATATAACAGATCGAGGCACATCAGAGGTGATGGCTTATCCATGGACAGCAAACAAATACTTTGCTTGAAAACAGTCAGGTTTTTGGGTTTTTTTAACAGAACATTTCTAATCTGTTACTTAGTTTCCTAAGCATTATTGGGTTTGTATTAAATTTTCATTTGAACTTAGAGCTCATCCCTGCATTACACCAGTCAAGTCATCCTAGTAATGGCATTTTTCTCCTCATCCCATTCCAGAGGTAGGACCATCAGTCACAGGATGGAGGTTAACTTTTTCTTCTCGAAGTAACCTTTGACAGTGGCCCTGCAGCCTGGTCCTTTCAGTATAAACATTATAACACTAGACTAACATGTCCAGGAATGTAGCATTTAATCATAAGAAAGGTAAAATGTGGAGAGAAAAAAAAATCTTGTCAGGTGAGTGCTGGAGTGATGAGACTGTGTAGGCAAAGAAAAACCTAGTAACAGGTGGAACTCATTTTTTGATCATGGTTATGTTCAGCATTATAATCTGGGATTTTTTTTGAGTGGGAAGCTTCAATCAGGAGCTCTTACAGCTTCTGCTGAGATGTGTTGTTCTTGGGAAATAAGAGACTGAATCTTAAGCTTGGACAGCTTCATAACAGAAGGAAAAATAATTTCTGAAGTAAGTGCCTGTACAAGTAGACTTGTGTTGCCTCAGAGAATAGATTTGTATTAGATGGCTCTGTGTGAAAATTCTTTTTACAAAACAAGAATACATATATATATATATATATATATACACACACAACTTAAAAATATAACTAGTTCATCTCAAAAGGGAATTAGTAGGTCAAGGTTTCCTGGGTTGAAAAATTTATTAGTACATACTTTTGTAAAGCTGCTGCCAGATGAGGAAGGCACTGTTCTTCCATGATTTGTAAGTGTCAAAACTTCTTGACTGAACCACTTGTTTTTTTCTCAGCAACAATTCATTGACTGTGGTCCTCTCCTAATGAGCTTCAGTCCACAGTTGTTGTTCCTGAAGCAGTGCTCACTGCCTCATGGACTCAAGCCAAAACTCAAGGAGTGCTTCTTTTTTTCTGAAAGATTTTGGATTGTCTTTATTGGAAGTTACTCATCTGCCTTTAGGGGTGCCTGAGGCAAGGTCCTGCTGCTGGTCCTGCTCAAGGTTTCATTGCCATGGAGAGGGATGAAAGGGCAAACAAGGGTGGTATCGTGTTTAGCAATGCCCTGCTGCTTTATATCCATATCTTTTAGCATCAAAGGAGAAGGTAGGATGACTTGCAGAGAGGCAAAATGTCTTAGATCCAGCTGGCCAACCTTCAAGCATATTAAGAGTTAGTGGTGCCAACAAACTGGAAAGGAGTCCAAAGTAATAGCAGATGTGGCAGTGTTCCAAATGGCAGAAGTGTATTTGCCATCTTGAAGGCCCATAATCTGTTGGACTGGCACAATTTTGGAAGTTCAGACAGCAAGAATTTGCAAAGACAATTTCTTCCCACATTTGCACTTTTAAAGAAAATTTCAGGTTTGTTATCCCACTGTCAAGGGGTTCAGGTAATTGGAGCTATCAGAAAGGCTCAAGACAAAGTCCTGACATAAACTTCATATTCTGAAAGTTAATTGCACATAATAAATCAGACTTGGAACATGGAGTTTTCAAATTACTTTAAGATGAAGCCATATCCATTGAGTATGTTGCTGCAGTGAAGATTCATGGTAACCTTCACTTGAGGTGTTTAGGTGAAATGGAATTTCTTGTAACAGATAATCTTTGGGACCTGTTTTCTGCTCCAGCCCTGTGTGAAGACTGGAAGGTCTCTATGCCCCAGGCTACTTCTGTGCATGGATTGCACCAATGTGTGACATTCCTTTGTTTTCTGATGGGTTCATGTAAACCTTTTAATCAGCTTGTGTGTCTTCAGTACAAGTCTAAATGCTGTCAGCCACATGTGGGGAGGGAGCAATTAAAAACGCAGAGTAGCAAAAGAAGAGAGCAGAAAACTTTCCCTAAGACCTGCTTATAAAAATGAGGAAATCAAAGGATTTCAACTAGTTCTAAGGTTATACTGATCACAGTGGAGATTTTACTTACAGGCATGAAGTAAGCTAAGGCTTACAGAAATAGGCAAATCCTGCAGGATTCTGCCTTCCCAGACTCAACAGAATTTTAACATGCTATTGCTAACATGAAACAGTCTCAGTAGGAACTAGCACTTGGCGATTTTATGTGCATGTGTTCACAAGTGACAAACTGAAACGCCTTCAATTCCTATCAGTCTGGAAATGAGGTATTTGTCAGCTCTGACTGGGGGTGGGGGGTGACACGTGTAGCTTTCCATGCTAACTTGTTGAAAAGGAACACCCAGGGTGTTCTCCAGAACATCTCTGCTGAAGCCAAGCTTGAAGAGTTTAAAATTTGCAAATCAGGGCAGGCATTGGTAGCTAAATGTTCTTGTTTGATATGTTGTGACTGCTTTCATTTGGAAAAACATCCCAAGATACCATTGACTCTCATTCAATCTGTATAGCTACAGCAGTGCTGGTGAGCATTGGTGATGTTGGTGTATTTTTTAACAGCTCACATGAAAACAACTCTTCGTATTCATTATTTTTAACACCACATAAAAATTCCCATGTTTATGTTTGTAATAAAGAATTAGAGAACTACTAAGAACTTAACTTTCCATATTATGAAATGTCCCAACTTAATTCCTCTAGACCACAAGTGAGAAGTCCTTTCCAGTAATAAACTGCACTGAGTTTTTAGGCTTTGCTGGGACTCAGGGGATCAATACAGTACAGACACCAATGGCACTGGAGTTACATCATGATTTCCTTCCTACCACAAGCTCTGGTAGGCCTAAAGATTAAAAAGAGGAGGGAAATTTTTTAAAAAAAAGTTCAGCTTGCCCTGACCTCGAAATACCTTTCTGTTCGTAACAAATACAGTGTACTATATAAACACTTACCTAAGGTGTGTTGGCTTATGTATCTCATTTCAGAGTTTTTAGCAGTTTTCCCTAGAACAGCCCTAGAGAAAGGAAAGCATTATTTTGTGTTCCTGTGTTGGGTGAAGAGCAGAAAGAGTTCCCAGCCTGAGTCTCCCACAAGGGCTTTGACCCAGGCAGGACGTGTAGCTGCATCTCTGACTTACAGCCACCAGCCCATCTTTTCTCCTGCCTCCTGTGTAAGGGCAGAGTAGCATCTCCAGGAGGCTGTGAGCTTCTGGCCTGAGCACTCTGAGCTCTCTGGCTCACACTGGCTGCAGCAGTGCTGGAGGTGCAGAGCACATTCCTTTCTGCTGCCTGAGTAGTTGAGCAGCAGTTGCACAACACCCAGGCTAGGGCAGCCAGAGCTTGGCTCCGAATGGGTTTGTTTTTGAAATGGAAATTAAAACCCAATATCTAGGACTGTATAGAGGAGTTATGAGAATGAATAGTGAATCATAAGCTTGTTCTTTTAATTACTGCGGCATACTTAGAACCTATTCATGTCTTCAAAAGCCTCAAAGGACCAAATGAAATGGTGATACATGGATTTCAGCCTATGCAAACTTATTTACAGGAAGATGGTTGAAGCATCATTTAAAAGGAAAAGAAAGGAATATAACTACAACTGTTTCTTTCAGGTAGAAACTGAAAGCAATCTTAAACATACCAGGTGCAGAGCACAATACAGTAGCCATGAATGACATTGCACAGAAAACTGAGGTATGTACCTATTTTAAAGCAATCAAAGCAATGTATTAATTTAGAACTGATGCTTGCAAAAATAATAATTACAACAAATTGTAAAAGATAAACAATTGTGCTGGAAGTCTGCTGGTATTGCTGTTATTTTATGGAAGGGCATTTGTAAACAGCTTAAGATTTGATGGAATATGTGAATTATGTTCTTATTGCTATTAGAAAACCATGAGGGAGGAAGGCAAAATAGAGGCAACAAAATATGAAGAAACTTTAAATGTTGGTGGGAAAATTCTGGACAACATTCACATTTGTTTGTAAAATGTAAATATTAGGCTACTTCAAATATTTCTTCCTCTACCTAGACTTACTGAGCAGCAGGAACAAAAACTCTAGGTGTAGGTGAAAAAATATGAAACATGGAATGTTTTCAGCCAGTTTTCTCAATATTACTGAATTAAGAACATTCCTGCAGTCATCACTGTAAAAAGAGAAAACTTCCCAATGGTTCTGAAAAGCGAGAACTTGTCTTGCTGTTTGGACACCAGAGTAAGCACTGGCAAAGGAGTGTCCCTTGGCTGTATCAGAGTGCTGCAAGTGCAGCATCTGCTTACTTTGGAACATAAAGTCACTGAGCTCCTGGGTTGCCCTAAATATTAAAAATGTAAGCATGTGATGTGTTGGAAGTTTTAAATTAAGAAATACTACTGTTTATTTAAAAACTATACGTGGCTGTTGAAGATTGCAGAAAAAAACCCCACACGTATTATGTTGGAAGTCTATGTCTCCATACCTGTTTTAAGCGTGAGGGGCAGAGGCTCTTTGGTGACTGGAAGCAACAATGTAAATCTGTATCTAAAATGTTTAAAGCCACAGGAATTGAAAATGCACATTCACAGAGTTCATATACTTTGTTATTATGCAGCTATTCGTTACAATTACTCAGAGCCTAAGATTAATGTAATGCTAAATGTTGTTTTGGGTATTTTAGTGTTTCTTACTATTGATGGGCAGATACAATGATGTGAACTGATGATGGCTCATGGCACAATACCAACTGCACTTCTGGTTTATGTTCTCACATTCTTTCTTATCCAATCTATCAGAGTATTTCTGTCCATCTATTTCAACTTTCTTTTTCTTATCTTCGTTTCTTCTTTATCTTCTCCGAGATTCTGCTTTCTTCATCTAAACCCGTCCAAAAGTCCTATGTGCCCAAGCTTCACAAGGGTGATGTAAAGGATAAATTTGAAGCTATGCAGAAAGCAAGGGAAGAAAGAAATCAAAGGAGATCTAGAGATGAAAAGCAAAGAAGAAAAGAACAATATGTTAGAGAGAGAGAATGGAACAGGAGAAAGCAGGAGGTTATTTTCTTTGCAAATATTTTGTGTTATTTTAATATTTAATATATCTGAAAATCTTTTCAAATTAAGACAGTAATGTTAGGATTTTGAAGTTCTAAAGACAGTTTACTTTCTGTATTTCATCAACTAGATGAAAGAACTGCTCGCATCTGATGAAGATGATGATACAAAATTCTCTAAAACAGAAAAAGGTTATGTCCCAAAGCTAATAGGTAAGAGAGGCCCAACTTTAAAGGCCACATAATGCACTAGGTAAGTACTAGGGGTAACTAATGAGCTGTGTATTTCACACTCACAGGAACCGTTAAGGGCAAGTTTGCAGAAATGGAGAAGCAGAGGCAAGAAGAAGAAAGAAAAAGAATGGAAGAAGAAAGAAAGCGCAGAATTGAGCAAGATATGATTGAGAAAAGAAAAATTCAAAGAGAATTAGCAAAAAAAGCACAGGAGGTATGTTCATCTGCTCACAATAGTCAGGACAGAATTGTAAACAATAAACTTGAAAAAAAGTTTTGTATTAGCTCAGAAAGATTCGTTTGTTAAATTCCTGACAGTAGTGAGTTACGTGGGAGATGCTCAGTGGGATGGAAGTGGGAAATAATGTTCAGAGACTCTTCACTTCTTTACAGTAACCATTTTTTTTACGCTCTAAAATTGAGTGAGAAATGAAAGCAAGTAGGCACAACCTGGTAGGAATCAGGCCCAGATTTTGGTGTCATATGCATACAAGAGTCTACTACAGTAATTTGAAAATGTTTCTTTTATTTTACCAACCCTTAGACAATTTTTGCTTATAAATTAGTGAATACAATTCACTGATACACGAACTAAGGCAAGCACAGAGGAGTAAGAAAATGCCATTTGCAGGCAAAAATATAAGACACTAACACAGTAAAAACTTAAGACACTAATGAAATAAAATCATAAATCATGAAGATCCAGATCATGATTTATTCCTTTGCCACTTTGTGAATCGTTGCACATATATGAACAGACTCCAACTTTTCTTGATGCCAATAAAGCAAATTTTGTCTTTTGTAGAATTTTGTATGGGGGTATCACATTTAACTCCTTCTGCAAGTTTCTTCAGTGCTGCAAATACTGCAGTGAGAGTGAACACCTAAAGGGCAGACTAAAACCATAGGCAAATTTTTATTGAAGCAAATGACAGTAGTCCTTAATTTAGGTCTGGCTTTGTTCTAAGGAACAAAAAACAGTGCTACAGGGGGCAGTTTTCAACAGGGACTCTTGACAGTATTTTCTACTAGGACTTCGTAACAGTGTTACAACTGTACTTTTAACTGGCAATGTATCTAGCATATATTTAATCTACTCTGCAAGGCAAACACAGAACTTTAGATGTTAGACCATAACATACAGACACCTTAGGAAGCAAACACAGCATTAGCTTTTTGCAGGAGCTGAGTGGAAGACAATGTCACTTGAATCAGAAATAATCTATGAGCTTGCTTTGTTTCTTGGGGGGGTTGTTTGTTGTTTAGTTTGGTTTTTTAACACAATTCTGGAATGCTTAAATGAAGAACAGACATCTAAAGTTCTCTCTCAGTTCACCACTGATGTGTTCAGAATGCTTTAGCATATTTTCTGTATGTTTTATGCCTTGTTGCCTCTTGCTCGACAAGCTAACCTGTCCCAAGTATTCCAGCAAAGGTTCAGGTGTTATCGTCTCTGTGAACTGAAGTGCTACATACATATCACTGATACAAAAAGAATTTCCAGTTCTATGTTTGCAACTCTAAGGCAAAGAGCCAAAGTAAGGTAATCATATGAAATTCTCATTTAATAGATTGATGACTTTAACAATTCGGGAACTGAATCAGCAGCTGAGGTAATCAGATTTTTTTAAAGAAATATGTTCACCTACATTTTTATTCACTTTGTTTTATTACTGTAATTTGGGTTGGGAAAATGTAGAAAACGGCACACAAGTACCTAATTAAAGTTCAGCCAAGGAGCTAACAAATTTTTAAAGGATATGGAACTATATGTCTGTAGTTGAAGTCAGAAATCAAATCTGCACTGTGAATACTTTGTGGTTACTCATAAATGTGTAAATGTTCAAAGCCACTGGAATGATCTGAGATAAACTGGTAATGATGCTCTAAGTCCTCTGGCTTTGGAAAGAATCATCTTAAAAGCTCTTTGCCTTAAACTTGAAATTAAATGGGGATTCTGACAATATACAGATGTTTAAACACCTCACTCAGGTAACTTATTTTTTTAAAATTGACTAATTTACTATAGGGCTTTGGATTTTGTGGCTTGCAAGTAAATGTCTAGTTGCAAAAAGCTGGATCCAAAGGTCCTATTGTCTTTCACTAACACAAAACAATCACACTCCTACTACAGTTTTGGAAAGAAAAAAAACAACCCCCAAAAACTCATTAATTTATTTGACAGTATCCCTGTTAATCATGGTATTCTGTGAAATGTATTTTGGCAAGTAAGTTGTAAAAGCAGCTTTGAAGCAGCAACAAAACCCAAATTACATATTGCCCTCCAGAGCTACCGGCTTATTGCAGCCACAGTATGTCCTGCACACAGTGAATGTAAAGAATGGGAGTGGAGTGTGGTTACAATTGCTGTGTATTCAGAATGACACCTCTTCTTTTCCAAGTCATGAGTTTTTATAACTAACAGTTAATGAAAATATGTAAAGAAATTAAGGATTTTGCCAGAAGTTATGTTTAAAATATAATTCACTCTTGATACTCTTGAGATACTGTAAGAAAACCAGTGACTGCCCCAGGCAGATGGATTTATTCTTGTGGTTAACAGTCAATACAAGTTAATCTTTTGGAGGCTTTGGCACACAGAGGTTAAACCAGCAGTTTCATTAAGAAATGAGTCTATCTAGAAGTGAAGCTTTGTGAAAATATAATAAATGTCTTTTTTGGACAGGAAGGGGATGACTCACTACTAGTTACAGTAGTGCCTGTAAAACCCACCAAGTCACCTGGAAAGATGAAGATCAACTGTGAGAACACAGGAAAGGAGAGAGCAGAACAAAGAAAGAGACAGGACGAAGAAAAGCTAAAACATGAGGAACAAAACCAGTTCCTTAAGGAAACCAAGTGCCTTTCATTTGCCACGGTAAACTATTCATCCAAAAAGACTTAAGCAGTAAATACCTATTATTATGGTAACTATTTCATTTTTCTTACACAGGGTGAAAATGAAGACAATGAAACACAAGGGCCTCTGTCTTCTGGTAAGCTGAAAGTAACATTTGAAGAACTTGAAAGACAAAGACAGGAAAACCAAAGGCGACAAGCAGAGGAGGAAGCAAGACAGCGTTTGGAAGAGGAAAAACGAGCCTTTGAAGAAGCTAGACAGAGAATGGTGAGTGCAGGTTTTGTTCAGGTTGTTACAGGATTTGTATGTAGGATATGTTTTTACATTCTTTCTTGGATGTGATTCTTCTTTTTTTCTTATTCCTGAACTATATTACAAGCTATTAAGAGTCTGAAAATGAATTTTTGAAGGACACGTTTTTGACCTTAGCTTTAACTCAGTAACCAAAGTGGCATAATGCTTCAGACACTCTACCAAGAGATACAGGTGTTTTAATTTTGCCAACAATCTTGGTAGGTTTTATATCTACACTGTGTAACACCTTAAGATGTAAGTCTTCAAGAAGATGACTAGCTGTCTCTTTTGTTCTGGAGTAGTGCTTCAGATGTTTCAGTAACCAGATTTTGATGCCAATATTCTGTAATAACAGAATGCTACTTCTTATTCCCATATTTATTTGTAAATATGAGAGAAAAATTCATTAATTACAACTCTCCTCTTATGATGAAAGGAGAAAAAGATAAGATCTCTTGGATCTATTGACATAAACAACATACTGTAAATTACTAGGTTAAATCCCCAAATTATCAGAAATTGTGCTCAGAATTCCTGTTTTACATTACTTGCAAAACTACTTCCATGTGTGTACTTTGCCATAAACCAGAGATATATTAGGTCAGCTATGAACAGACCTCACTGTAGTTTGTTCCTTAATCATACTGAAGGAATCATACCCTTAGTATTAACCTAAGACACACCAGGTAGTTTAGTTCTGAATTTCCTCACTTTACCATACTCCATTTCCAAATGTGTTTTTTAAGTTCTGTATCCGAATACTTCTCCCCTGTACAGTCATGATCACTGTGACTTTGTTAATTCACATACAAGATTAACAAGAAATGAAATTTTAATATTTTATAAAAATTTGCTACCTTTAACAGAGTATAATTGTGAACGAACATTCTTGGACAAACAACTCAGGATCACTATATTATAGACTATATTTCAAAAACATTCAAGAAACCTATACTCTACAGAAACAAAACCAAGCAAAAACAACATCACAGAACCTCCAGAAAGCTCAAACACAGAAATTCCCAACTGGTCCAAATTGAGAGGGTTCTAGGTTTAGACAGATACTCAAATTGTAGTTTACTCCTTTGCCTCCACCTCCCAATAAATCACTTCATTTTTTCCTCACCAATAACCTTGTCATTATGTCAATAATGCACTTCTTCCTCTTTGTTTGGGGTGTGGCAGGGGATACTAGCGAAGGAGAAGAGGGAAGAAAATGAAGGAGAGTGAACTTCATGGAGTAACTAGCCATTCTAACTGAAGTTTAGTTCACATCTCCAACCCTTATGTATGTGCATTTATTTACCAAGTAATATAAAATAATTTAAAAATTGTCTACATCAAATTTTCTAACATGGAGCTTCATCTGCTAATCAGTGGTTGTCAAATTTTCATGTAAAAATTTTTCAAAAAGGAAGAGTTCAGCAGTTAATTTCCTTCAATTCTTTGATTTTTCCTTCTGAATTCCAAATAAGAGATTTCCCTAATTCCCTTAACTGGCTCCCCCACATACCAGTCCCAGGGCTGCTCCCAGCATCCAGAGATCTGGATTATCAGTACTCTGACCATTCCCAGTCCACTTCCTCCATTAACAGATTCAGTACTCTGGGATGTCCTCTGAGGGGGTTTGTCTTTTGTTCTTGATTGCAGTTTGCAAACCACAGGCTTCTCTTAGCAGATAAGCGTCCACAGGAGACAAACTATAGTGATGAGATCAGAGTATCTCAGTTCCCTTTCTTCAGTGATGATTAAATGTCTGAAAAGAAAAGAAACAAAAATCTCAGCCTGGAATAATAGCAAAATGTTAATTGATTCAGTTTTGCTATAAAACTATAACATTTTTTGAACTGGTGCACTGGTGAACACAATTTCTATGCAAACAAAAAGACTGGATGGTAAAAGGGTCTATGAAAATGATGTAAATAAAGTGAATAGGGAGTGATTTTTCAGTAAATGATCCAACCCTGAGACCATGAAGCACGTGTTTAGCTGTTCAGCCTTTCCTGGTAACACACAGATTACAGAACCTACATAGAGGATACTGAAAATTTCTTTTCTCCCTCCTCCAGCTAAAACCAAGATTAAAATATTTCTCATAGGAACCAAACTCTTGATATATTTTCCCCCAAGGAGAAAACAATGCTTAAAAAAGATCAGGAAGGAATTAATGGTGTATTTATTCACTATAAAGAATATTTTTACGTTTGGGTAAGTCCTTTTGATTTTTTTCCTCTCCCTTTTCTCTGAAGATAAATGAAGGTGGTGATGAAGAATCTGAAAATTCTGTTAAAGAATTCCGCCCTGGTAAACTCAGACTCAGTTTTGAGGAGATAGAAAGACAGAGGAGAGAGGAAGAAAAGAGGAAAGCAGAAGAGGATGCAAGACGACGCATGGAAGAGGAGAAAAGAGCATTTGCTGAAGCAAGGAAGAACATGGTATGGTATTCTGGTTTAGTATATCATTCAGTTTTCACTTAGGTCTCAAACTGGAAAGAAAGTCTGAGAAAAAGCTTTAAATAGTTAGGAACACGTGCTTCAACTCCTTCATTAATGAGTTCACCTCACCACGTATGAGAAGGTAATGGGGTAAACTAATCAAGTTTACCAAAAATCACGACAGAACAATCCTTCCCTCGCAGCCTACAGAGCTTCCACTACCTCAGTCAAGACCAGATACTACATCCCATGGGTATTACTATGCTGAAGCAACAAACTCAGAAAGCAAAATGCTTTACAAAGAGGCTTTGTTGGTTTTTGGACAGATCATTTGTAAAAACTCCTTTTACAGCTCCAAGTTTGTCTCCTTACCTTTACAGGGTGTCCACCAATCACCTCTTACTGCTAAAGCACAATTAATGGCATACTAGAAAAATGCTCCCTGCAAGTACAAATATTACAGTCACCTGGGGCTCTTTAGGACGGAAAAAATAAGAAGGCTGAAGCCACTTAACTGGTATTTTTAATGCATTTCAATGCTTGTTCAGAGAAACAGAAAAGCTAAGTCATGGCATTTACCATTAGAACGATTTGTAATAGGGGCTGTCCTTAGACAGAGACTTCTGTGACACGCAAGAAATTCTAAAGTTTGAGAGAAGAGTATACTGATGACAAATTTTCAGGGACCTAAGACTGACATACTGACACTAAATGAAAGCAGAGAAAGATGCTGATTTCAGAGGGTGCCAACACTGGTTTATAAAAAAAAAAGGTAGCACAGAGCTTTTAACTGTAGCCTTCATACTTATTCCAACAAGTTCAAGTTTCGGCAGGTGTTTGGGTATAAGTCAGTTACTTATGGATGTTAGGAAATACAATATTAAATTACATAAATAATAGCTAAGTATTGTTTCAAAAGAAAAGGCAGCACTTGCCAATCCAGAATGGTGGAATAACCCAGGTAGCATCTTCTGACATACTCCTGTGGTTTAACTGGGAAAGAACAACTGCAGTGCCTAGCAACATTTTCTTCATCATTCAAAGCAAAGCTTGGGAGAGAAATGAAGACTTTGTATGAGTACTAATGTTGTTGGCAGTGCCCCCTCTGCCTGGAAACTGGGCCAAAGACAAGGGCTATATGCTGATACTATCTAGACAAACTACAGTGTAAATATGTATTGATATTGCACCGGTAAGCAACTATGGAAAACAGTGTCTGTCTATACCTTCAAGGAAAGAAAATAGGCTCTAAAGCCACTTAAAACATGAGTGCTGCTGGACTTCTGCCATTACAACTTTTATGAAAAGCCAGCAGGCAATTAAAGGAAAGCAAATAAATATGTGGTATCTTCTGTCGCTTTCACTGTCTTGAGAAACTCCTTTTTTTCTGCCTCAGCATAACAAGAACCTAAGCTGAAGTGTCCAGGCAAGAAAAATCTGAACAGCACAGAGACTGATATCACTGTAAGTGCAGACAGTGAAAATGGTCAGTAACTAAAAAAAAATTAACTGAAAATACATTTTCAGCATAGATGTCTGAAAGTGTTGGTAATTAGCCTCCTGAACATGAACATGACATTTTCTACTACTTGGAACAGAATATAAACCTATGCTTTTCTTATTTTCTGCAGCTACACAATGTAGCAGCAATGCAGATGTTCTTAAAATGTTTAGTAAAGCATCTCTTTCACAAGTAGTAAAAACTTACATTAAATTGTTATTCTAGAAACCTTTTCATGTTTATTCCGTTTAATTTAGTTTTGGAAGTATACACACAGAGAACTAGTAGCATTGTGGCTGGAAAACACAAATGGCACCTCTTCTTGGAAGGATCTATTTCCCATCTCCTTGTGCTATTTCCACACTCCACACCATCAGTCTGACCACTTTCAGACTGACACAGTCATCTTTCCCCCCCTCACTCCCTTTATAACCAACCTGCCTTAGCACAAATAAAAAGAAGATTCTGCTTTTTCTCCCTGTTTGCACTCTGAAAATTGGTTGAGTGTGCTGCAAACCATGGTTGTTAGAGGACTGTTTCTCACTACCAACTGTTTCCACTTTGCAGAAAAAAAAAAAGGCATGGCTTCATTTCACAAAATGTGGCTAAAATATTTACTGAACTAACCACAAGGGTTTTGTAGAGCACACAACACAGCTGGGGTTTTTTTCTGTGTTTTTAAACCAGGAATAAGTTGGCTTACTGTCTGTAAGTGTCTGCTAGTGTTTGCTCACACACAGCTTTGAACAGCTGTGGGTCAGTTCTGAATGCTCTTCCCAGACACTTAGGTTCTGTATCTCCTTGTAAAGATAAGAAAATGAACTAGTGCATCACAGGCAAGAGACCTGGACATTTCTTTGCTAATTTAGCCATGCTTAGCATTGTTTTCATTAAAGGAAATAGTTTACAGCTTTGTTTTTTAACTTCACTTCTCCGTAACACAATTACAACAAATATGCTCATGTTACACAAAACAAATGAAGAGTGGAAGGAATGGTGGGGCTGAAGTCCAACTGCAAGCTAACTCAGAGGGAAAAGCTGAAGGACATCTATAGTGAATCGCAGAATGGGACTGGGCTTGGGCCAAAAAACTAATGAAAGAGCTGTGGCAAACAGAAAGGATATGGGCAAAGTAGGTCAAGACAGTGGTACCAACTAAGATGGCACCAACAGCAGCAAAAGGTGTAGGTTAGAAGGGCATTAGGGAGCAATAACAAGGAAGTGCCAAAGAACCTTTTAGAAAAATGTTTCTCTCTCTTTGTAAAGGTAATCAAAACAGTTTCTCAAATGAAAATTTTGCACCTTTAATCCTGTCTAGCGTTTGACTGATGACTGCTGGTGAGTGCCTGCAACTTAATTAAGGCACACTGAGCTCTTCCATGTTTGCCACAAGGCTTTTCAAACATGTACTGATCAGAGTGCCAAAAGCCACATCACTACACAGTTCTAGATCAGTACCTGACCTCATCTCACATTTACTTACAGAACATTCCTGTTGAGACAATCTCTGTTAGTAAGTTTATATAGATACAAGCAGAAACATACATTTATGGAACCTTTTTCAAGTTATTTGGAACTTCCCGCAGGACTCAGACTGTCACTACTGGCCATTTTTGTAGCATAAAGCTTCCTATTTTAGTAGTACTTCAACAAATTCCTTCTGATAAAATATTATTTCTTAAGCTTTCTGCTTTGGAAGTAATGAAAACTGCCTTTCCTAGGCCCTACCATCTTCTTGTGGATTAGTCTACAAGCCAACTGTTCCTCAATACCCAACTGAGCCTAACTCTATTCTGAAGCCTGAGACAAGGACAGGGCAAGGAGGAAACTCTTCCTGTTGTATTGTATAAACCAATGAACTGGCAACACAACTTAGTATAATCAATTTGTGCATAAGATTTTCTTCTGAAAATTCTGTTCAGTTATCTGTAGTAGGAATACTAGTATTACGAACAGGAATACAATTCAATTTGCTTAAAGAAAAGGTTACAGATCTATGTACTTCAGCATTAAGAGCAATGATGTGTAAACACAAACACCTTAGCTAATGATAGTCTGAAGGAAACAGGAATGAATTGCTTTAGGTGCTGAAGGTGCATTTGGAGGGCATCCTCCCCATCATCTTGCAGAAAATACTGCATTTTAATAAACACCTTATCTTCATTGTGAAAGTTTACCATTGTAGCTAAAATCAAACCCCAAACCTGAAACCCACTCCCTCCCACATCAGAGCAATACCCACGTTGTCATGGTGCATCACTGTACTGGGGCAGATGTGACAAAACAGTCAGTTACCTTTCTGAACTACAAGAGCCTGAGCAATGCTGTGATTTCACCACAGGTATCATTAATGCTCTGAATTTCCAGCAGGTGCTGGATGATGAATCACCAGAAATGTTTAAAACATTTTCTCAAGAATCTCTCATACCTGGTAAACTGGAAATTAATTTTGAGGAGTTGCTGAGACAAAAAATGGAAGAAGAAAAAAGACGCACGGAAGAAGAGCGCAGGCAAAAGTTGGAAATGGAGAGGCAAGAATTTCAGCAGTTGAGACAAGAAATGGGAGAGGTTTGTACATCAAATGATATGTTAAGCATGCTCAGAATAAAAATAAAATAGATCATTTAATTACTAAAAACTCAAAGTGTAAGACTGTAACTAATATATCCTTTAAAAGAAATTTAAAAAAACACATTCAGCATCATGGGAAAAGAATGAAAAATAGAAAATAGTATTTTCAAAACATTGTATATAATGACATACTTTTATCACTAATCTACCAGGAAAATGTTTTTGTCCCTTGCCACCCTTAAAGTAAAAAGTTTCAAATTTGTAATTTTATTTTGCAGTCACTTCTGAAGATTCTAGAGTATTACTAAAAAGATTAGGCAATATTTGCAGTATTGAGGGAACAGATATATCTAGTTCCCAAATGAAACTACAAAAACAAAAGTAGGAAAGAGCAAACTTCTTGCTTTTCCTCAGGGCTATACTGTACTAACTAAGGAGTGCAGAAATACAGTGAGCTCAGCTGCTTTTTAATCAATAGATCAAGGGTTTGAAGACTCTCACACCTGATCACATACAAAATTTGCTTTACCTTCCAAATGTTTAAAACATCACATTCAGCAACTTTATACTTCAGGTTGGCTGTGGGCGGTAATTCCTTATTATTCCCCATCAAATGTTAAGAGGACTACATTAATTTATTATTTTTGTTAAGCAAAGCTTGAGTGAGTAACAAAGGCTCTAGGCTTGGGAACTTCCCAGGTGAATCTTATATTACATCCTGGGGAAGAAGGGACACTCAGCTAAAATGCATGTACGTCTTTACCAGCAGCCAAGGGCTCGTAAAAGGAGGTAGAAAAATATCAACAATTACAGTTTCAGATGTGGTTTGAGTACAGGATTTGGAATAGTTTTTTCCCCCAACCATGACATCCTTAAATGTCATTTGCTTTTTACTGACTGGAAAAAAAGGGCAATTTTAACAAAACAGCTGTATTTTGGAAAATCATTTCATATCATATTGCAAGTAAGTAGAGGTGAATTATGGATTTGAGATAACTTAGTTTTTTGTATTGGTAGGTGACTGGTTTTCTGAGTCTCTAAAGGGCAGTTTATTGACAGCAACCCTTGAACAAAGGGCATGTTCCAGCAAGATATTTTAACACCTGTATCTAGTTTAGATGCAGTAGTGTATTACAAATGCAGTAATCATGGGAGCAGCAAGGAAAAAGGTCTCTGTGCTGATTTTGAGCAACTAACAGAACGGGAGTGTTAAGTTACACCTATCTGTGAGGAGAATGGCAAGTAAACATAATTAGGCATTTTCTGTCTTACACATTCTGTAATTTCAACAGCTGGAAGAAGAGTGTGAAACTTTCGAGCTAAGCAAAGAATATGAAGAATTAATCAAGCTCAAAAGAAGTGGTTCTATCCAGGCAAAGAACTTAAAAAGCAAGTTTGAAAAAATAGGGCAATTGTCTCAACAAGAAATACAGAAGAAGATTGAAGAAGAGCGAGCTAAGAGAAGAGCAATGGATGAGGAAATAAGAGAAAGGGAAGCTGAAAAATTTCAAGAGGTAAGTTGCATTCTGTGTATGTTACCGATATACTCAACCAGCAAACTAATGATCCAGGAGTGGACAATGGACCAAATTTTGCTGTATTTCCAAAATTATTTTCTCCCTTCTTTCCTGTTCCCTCCTTTGGATGCTTGAGGATGTCTCACCTCAGCATCCCTAAAGGAAACAGCACCAGTTTATTATCAGTCATCAGGTCAAGCAGAGATCCATTTTTCCACACAAAGTCCTCAGTTCAGCAGCTTAACCTAAACCTGCCAAGCCGAGGGTTTAGAACATTCCTATCTGATAATTAACTATTAATAATCACCTGAATTCCATCTCCTTAACTCTTAATTCATTCTCCACTGTATGAATTACATAAAAACCACTACCAAGCCCAAACAAAACCAAATACCGTTTGAAGATCAAGTCTTTATCACACTTACTCATTCATTCTTCATGGTAGAGCACAAAGGGTGTACCTATGGATCTGTGCTCTGGACTCTTTTCAGAGGGGCTAAACAAGAAATGAAGCTCATTCTAACCAGTCAACACAATGGTCTCTGACCCAAAAGACCAATGTGAGCTTTTGTTGCATAATTCTGGGCAGTGCACAAAACACCAATAAGCCTGGTTTGAGCCTCTTTCTGTCTCTCCTCCACGGCCATCAGTCACTTCAGCATCAGCTGTCATTTATTTTTTGAGCTTTTAAATTGAATTATGGACACCATTTGTTTCTGTAAGGTCAACCTGCATGGCATAAAATTCAAGTCACTGAGGGTTTACCATTGCCAAGAAGTATTCAGCCTCTATGCAAAAATGCATCTTAGGTTTTTTTGGCTATCATTTTATGAATTACTTTTTGCAAGTATTTTGCCCTGTCCTTGGTGTAAACTATTACAAGACTTGATCTTAGACCCAGCATGGAACAAACATGTGAGAAAAACAAGACTTTGCTCAGTTAAGAACTGTGGAGATACAAAACTGGTTTTGCTATCATACACGTACAAAAATTAATAAATTAAGTCCTATTTTTTCCCCCAAGGATGATGATGTAGATGTCAGACCAGCCAAGAAGTCTGAGGCTCCATTTACTCACAAGGTAAACATGAAGGCACGTTTTGAGCAAATGGCAAGAGCCAGGGAAGAAGAGGAGCAGAGGAGGATTGAGGAACAGAAACTACTACGTATGCAGTTTGAACAAAAAGAAATTGATGCAGCATTACAGAAGGTATAAATTACCAAGTGATTTTCTTCAGTCCTAAGTGTCATTTAACTTACAGCTTCTGATTACCACTAACAGCAACACTGCTAGAGGTATAAAAGGAACATTTTTCTTGTTTTAACAGCTGCTGGAAATTGCTGCAGTAACATAAAATTGCTTTTGGCAGTCACATACTCTTCGGGGAATCAGAGAACGGTTTAGGTTGAAAGATCACCTAGTTCCAATGCCCCTGCCATGGGCAGGGACACATACTAGACCAGGTTGCTCAAAGCCCCATCTAACATGTCCTGGAACACTTCCAGGAGTACAAGAGAGACACTGCAAAGAAAGGTCATGGCATCCCTTGAATAGTCTGAAAATGGAATCTACACTCATGCCTGTATTTTACCCCAAGATTGCAGCCTCGTTAAAATGCACTTTACAGCCTGTTGCATGTCCAGATTCAGTGCATTATGTTACCTAGTGAGGATGTGTCGCATTTCCCCTTCTCAGAAACACAGTAACGTGTCTGTAATCAAGTATGGATTACTAGCAAAGTGCTACTGCCACTTTAAATGTTCTAAATCAACTTATTTTATAACAGAAAAGAGAAGAGGAAGAAGAAGAAGAGGGAAGCATTATTAATGGTTCTACTTGTGAAGATGAGGAGGATCAAGCTCGGTCTGGAGCTCCCTGGTTCAAGAAGTCACTGAAAAACACATCAGTTGTTGATGGAGAACCAGTGAGATTTACAGTTAAAATTACTGGAGAACCAAAACCTGAAGTTACATGGTGGTTTGAGGGGGAAATGTTGCAGGACTCTGAGGACTATCAATACATTGAAAGAGGAGAAACCTATTGCCTTTACTTGCCAGAAACCTTCCCCGAAGATGAAGGAGAATATATGTGTAAAGCAGTCAACAACAGAGGCTCAGCTGCTAGCACCTGTATTCTCACCATTGAAAGTAAGAGTTAGCATTTTCATTTCCTTAACTCTCAAATAGTCTTCCTGTATCTGTCCTGTTATGAGAATCTAATTATCTGTTTCTCTTAACCCATTTTCTATTTTCTAGCTGATGACTACTAATGCTCTGCTTTAGCTGGAATCTTTCTTCCCCTCAACTTTCTTACTGCATCATCTCTTTCTCTGATGGGGCCAACTAAAGAAAGCAAGGATATGCATTGATTTGTCATTCCTGCATCAGATAAGAATAACCTTCCAATTGTGAGCATCCAGGTTCCCTACTCAATGCAAAAATTGGTATTAAAGGCTAAAAAGAAGGAATCAATGTATGAAAGATCAACTAAAGGAGAAAGCTGAATTCTATGTGCTCCCACATTTAAAGACCAACTGTTGTGTAATAGTATAAAGCTGAATACACAATTTGGAAACTTGTGTAGTAGTGTAATTGGTATATTTTGCATGAGCACTGAGTATTTAAGCTGTTTTACTTTATCCCAGAGCATTGAACTGGCAAAAGGAAATACTTATTGATTTTCAAAAACCCAAGTGTACTATTTTTAAAGAATAAAAGATTACATAACTGCTCACTGTCGTTTTGTTTCAAAGAGCATTAATTCTTTTGCTTTAAAATGGGCTTACATGTTATGCTGATCAACCAGTTGAGAATCCACAAGCAAAAATCAACCTCCCTTAGGTTTCTAGGAGTCTTCGTAATACCAACACTTGCTTCTACAACTTCTGAATTTTATACTGATTAAACAATACATAAGCAGTTGGTGACATCTACGACTGGCTGACATTTGAAGCTGCTAAGAAGGCAGCTTTAAGGAAGAGATTTTCAGAGAGTGCCTATTTTCTCTTTGTTCTCTCTTAATGCAATGAATTTATTGCTGCATCTCTAAACATTGTCTTCTTAAAGCTACTGGACTATTTTTCTCTAAGACCTCCTGACACCAACATTAATGTCACTGTGCTAACACCATCTGAATCATTCAGATTAGGAGTAACTTTGCAAAATATAGTCACATTTTAAATTAAAGAACACGTGTCTAGGCTGTAACACACAGACAAGGTTAAGTGCAGTAAATTCAAGTTATGCAATCATTTCAAAAAGAAGTTTTCCTGTGGTTGAACCTGCTGAGTGTTCTTTGGACAATTATCTACTGAAAGTCATTCTTCTGCCTCAATAAAACAGCTGCACATTCAGAAACACCTTGAAAAAATGTTAACAAGCTGCAGGATGTTTGGAATTAATATTTACCCTAATAGCCATAGAAACGTATTTTACTTCATTTCATGTGGGTCATGTTCATGTTTCATGTTCATTCACAGAAGTACTAGTTGCTGCAATATTTCAGTATTTTTCCTCTGAAGCTGTTATTGCAAACTAACAAAGGCAGGGATAGGAGCATAAAGAAGACAAAAACATTGCTATTATTATCCATCAGTTTACATTTATTGAGAAAAACCATACAAAAACCATTATACAGTTAATGTGTACCCATATTACATACAATGTCAATGCAAGCTCAAAACCACATTTTTGTAAAGCATTCAATTTACCTCAAGTCCAAGCTGCATCTCCCTAAGACACTGTTCCCATCACAGTTGCCTTTTAAAGCCAATCTTCTGTTTACACTCGGGTAGTTTCTGCAGAGAACACTTTTCTCAGGACGAAAAGGCATTTCACATGCACGCAAGAGAAATACTTGTGCATACATAAGAGTGTCATAAGCTATTACTAGGGAAGAGGGAATCCTGTCAATTGTATGCTTTCTGAAAAGCCCAGTCCTCCCTTCCTCCCCCCACTTCCAGAAAAAAAGCAAAATAAAAAGCTTCTAGCATGCAATGGAAAACTTAAGAATTACTTTGGAAGAGAATAGGGGAGAAACAGTGTCTACCATCCAGTAAAATACCACTATAGTAGAAAGATGACATACTTCAGGATAGGCTGTGCAAGTGAATCATGATCCTGTCTGCCTGGACAAGTGAAATAGATGACATCATCAAGCTACACTGAAGATTATCAACCTGATATTTTATTTCATGCCCTAACAAAGGATAGGCTGCAGAAAGTGATACAGAAATGCTCTTCCTACTTGGAACATTATGCTTACTTTTTAAACTTTTCACATTCTACTCTTCATATTCTACCTAATTTGTGGGACACTAGTGGGTGGATGTGAGGGAAGCAGAAAACATTTCAAGACACCTTTTGGCCAAGTTTGCTGCATTTCTAAGCAAGTCCAGTTATCTACTCAGATACTTGATAACCCCAATAATCTATTTTCTGTTCTCCCAAGAACTGTGAGTTTGGAGACAAAGCTGAAAAACAAACACTATGCTTAGCACAAACCAGCATGCCTGTAAGCCCAGCAGGGAGAAAGCTGGAAATCAATACACCTCAAATGCTCCACACAAGAACATCTCACCTTCCACACACTAGCAACATCCCAATAAACTGGCTTTTCTTCTCTATCTCCTCCCACAGGCTAAATTAACAACTGAAAGACTGTTCAAGATATTTTAGGATTAGCAGTTGAAGCAAGAAGTATCATGTAAAAAGGAAGTGAACAAATGACTCACCCCCCACTAAATTCACAGTATCAAAATTCAAATGGTACACACCTAACCTTTTCTCATGCCAAAAATGAAGTTACATGTTAAACTACAGATGAAATACTAAGTAGCTCAAGAAACTGAAGCACAACTACTAATTTAGTTCAAAAATTAGCTTGGCTGTTTAGAAGAATATAAATTAAAATAGATGGTTTATATTATTAAATCACAGTTTAAAAAACTTAACAGATTATGGAACATTTATGGTCAAACAAAGAATACTTTAAAGAATGAAAAGTGATCAAAACAAAAATTATACCCTACACCATTATGTATGGGATACATTTCAAATCTGTTATGTTTTTGCCAATTTTACCTTCTACATGGAGCCCTTCTATGGTCCATGCTCATCGGCTCACCAATGGCATACACTCAAAGGATTCCTCTTTACTGGTAGTAACTATCTCAGGACCTGATTCTATGAGCTATGATTTGGTGCTTGCAGCATCTTCAGCACTGTGTGTGAAAATGAAGGCAGTATTTTTGAATATTTTTCTTTGATGTACAGATAAGCAGGACTTTTGAAAGAGGAGCAGCACATTTTAGAAACAGTATAATCAACAAAAAACCCCAAATAGATGCTGCTTTATGTTAAGCTAAAAAAACAACAAAAGCTCAAAACAAAAACCTGTACCAGACCATCTGTTAGACATACAACATTTTATACTATCAAAATATACAGCAATTCTGTTAAGGTATCAAGAAACAGGATACACTGACTGCTATATCAGTAAGTCATTACCTGCTGTACTGTTAACATTTAATTGGTGCACATGCTTTTGCAGTTAAAACATACTAATCTCAAACTCCAGAATCTGTTTTCCTACCGTGTCAAGTATGAATAAGCAAACTAAGTTATCTAAAGATTCCACTAACACACTATAACTGTAAGACAAGTTATCAAGTTCAGTGATAACAACAAGAACTCATATTCTTTACATTTAGGTCTTAGGAGTTTAAGTGGGAATAGTGCCCTACTATAAAAAAAACATTTGTGAAGGCTGTTGACATTTCTAACCAAAGTAATTCCTGCATATTTTAAAGGTTTTGATTCTTTAATTGCAACAATTAGCTATTTGAGGAAAAGTAACAAAAATTACGTATTCTGATCAAGTTTAATTACTGCAATCTAATAATCTTTTCTAACAAAAAAAGAAAAAAATACATATTTACCTAGAAATATAAACAGTTGCTCAAAAACTTAAGACTTTCCACTGCAATGGAACCGTGAGTAACAATGCATTTGGGGAAGCAGCAGATTGCTTTTCAATACACAACCACAAAGATCTCACAGGGACAACATTAATGTACTGAAATATATTAATTTATATACTTCCTTAGGTTGTGCTTACCTGTTGCTTTTTTGCAGCAGAACCTAAGGTGGAAGGTCTGGGAAGGCACTGTGAAGTATAAATAATTGCACTGTTTGCAATTAATAAAGATTTTATACCTTAAATGAATCAAAATCAACAGCCTCCATTTTGTGAATGATAAAGAATCCAGTGAATTTAATTTTGCTCAGTTTAGTACATAATAAATGCACCATTCTGTAAGGTTATCTACAAAATACCATGCAAAATACCTGAACTATTAAACTTAATACCCTACACTAAAGATAGCAAATACTGTCCTAGCCTTCTTCAAGCTACCAGAATTATTCCTAATTTTAAAAGGGATAAAAATAATTCCTTCTATTTCTACAGCACAATACATACATTGCTAATTACCTGAATAAACTACTTCAGTTTTTAAGCCTTAACTTTTACTTCTCTGTGCAGCCACCCTAAAAAAATTCTCAAAGCAACAACATGGTGTTCCAAATGATAAAGCAATTAACAGTCATAGAATTATTTAAAGCATACCTACATCACTACATAGCCGCAAACTATCTGAAGACAAAAACAACTTCTGGCTAACAAGTGGTTCCAAAGACTTCAATGTTAAGATATGCATACTTTAAAATACTGACACAGCTGTCTCAGGAGTACTAATGAAATAAACTATTACTCAGATAAACAGAAACAAGATTTTCTTTAGCTATTGCTAAACGTTTCAGAAATACTTACCCACAAAACTGATATTATGTGTATGTATATATAAGCAAACCTACGTTTCTGAATTAAGAAGCAATTATGATTTCCTAAGATATCAGCACTGTATTCCAACATAATAGTCACACAAGTATGGCATTTTCATTATGTGGAACATTGACAAAAAGATACTGTTGCAGTTCATCAATTTGTCATTCTGATGTACTTACAGTGCAATGCTCCTTGAAGGAACAATCAAGGATGATACACAGCACAGTCCTCCTCACCCCTATAGAGCTAGTTCTATACTGGCTGGATCAAACCTGCACTTCAACAGACAATGGCAAGACAGACTGTAGTGCATGTAGTCTAATATATGCAAAGAGCCAATAAATATGCAAAGAGCAAACATAGGATTTCAAGAGAATCAGATTTTTAGAATGAGCATTAGAGCAATAAGAAGTTTCAAGTATATATAAAAAAATAATCAAGTGATTCAAATACTTGAGTATTTACAAAAACAGAAGTTATTTGCTCTGCAGGAAGTTCTCAACCACTCCCACCACTCAAACAAAACAGCGTTTTAAGGACAGATGCAATTTCTGTAACTACTATGCAAACCACATTAACTTTTCTACACTGAATTTTGAAGTGGACTACTTTCAACTGAAGGCTTAAGCACATTACACTTAGAGCACGTTTTATAACTAGTCTGAAAAAATCCATAAAATCGTTATGCAGGAACAGTTTTTAAAGTATTCAATTAAAACCAAAAGTTATCTGTTATAGCAGCTGCACAGGTCTGAAAACAGTGGTCATGTATAAAAGGAAATTTCACTGTTAATGCAATGGAAGTATGCCAAAAGATCACCTTCTTAAACACATGCAGTTTTAATCAAATAGAAAGAAAATTAAGGTATCAAGATTACTGTGCTAGGCAGCAAAATACAATGAATGAAAGAGATCCTCCATCTACAACTATTCTGCAAGAGGGGAAAAACATGCTAACGACAAGTCTTTAAACTCAACAAGGTTTCATGGGGGGAAAAAAAAAGCCCAATTCATTTGTGTACAGGTACCTTGATTCAGCGTTGCAAATCAATCCTATAATTCTGCATATACCCACATATCCAACTTACCGACACAGGAGGTTTCATATTATTTATTGTAAAGCACAAAACAGGCATTTTAAAAGTGATAAAGTATACATTGAAAAAGTACATTTATATCACAAAGCATTGACCACATAATTGCAAATACATTTGCTGGAATGTGTACATCTACACTAATACTAAAAACAAACCATTTTTCATTTCTACACAGAAATATTACCTCCTATCAGTAGTGATAGATATTTTGTACATTTTCAAAAACACTATTTTTTAACCAAAATTAAGATCTTCATCAAGGCGTCTGCATCCATACATTTAACAAAGGTTTTTTCCCCCACACAATGAAGCAAATACTGTATTGTCCACTTCTTATTATTGGCCCTGTGCAGAAGAGATACATAAGAGATACACAAAAAGTTAAAGAAAATCCTTTAAATCGAGCTAACTCAGGAATGAAGCCTTTAAGAAAGAAAAATTGGTTAATGTAAATGGTGGTGGCTTCTTGCATGGTTTTCAAAACCCTGGGAGGAGAAAGTTTTTCTATTTTTCTTTTAAAAAAAACAATCACCAAACATATGGATAGATACAGAACTCAAGTCATCAGGTAAACAAAGTCATCTACTTATTATTCTGATATATATTTCGCTAGAAAAAAAGATGCATACTCCAAAGTAACAAAGCAGGAGACATGCAAAAAAAATATCTACAACCACTGAAACAGAAGCCAGCCAAAACCACTTTATCACTATACCTGTGGTGCTGGAGGGTGTTGTGGCATTCCCTGTGGACTTGTCTGGGCGTAATATGCTGCCTGCTGCCTGTAGTACTCAGCCCATGCCGCACTGTAATCTGGCTGACCACCTGGCGGAGCCCCAGCAGGGGCAGGAACAGCTTGACCTGAAAGCAATTAAAATCACATAGCTTTGTTGTTGCAATAGAAATGAGAAGTTTCCAAGTCTCATTGCCTAACAAAGTCATCTAGCAATATTCCTCCAAGGCTTTTGAATAAACTCATGGCTGCTTTTTTTAACCTAACCACTCAACTACTATTTTAATGTAATGATATCCACGTAAAGCAAAACTGAGGAATTGAAAGGTCAGTTTTTTTCTGCCTCGATTCATATTCGTGACTCATAGTTAATGCCTGCTGACCTAAACAATGGCAGCATTTAAATACATGTCAAGAGGCAAGACTTTGTTGTAATCCACCTAGACTGATTTTATCTTATTATACAGACAGCATTCCTTAGCTCAGCAGATGCCAATTCACACCCTTCTCCCAATTCTGGCATCCTTCATGCAATTGCCAGGTTATTGCAGATTACATTGTTCAAAAAGAGCATTAATTTTTGTACACATTTACTCCATCACAGAATATAGCCCTGAAATGTTTCCTTCCAACCCTTGGTAAAGTTCCAATCCTCTAGAAACAGCAATGTGTATACAGAGACACTCCCAGATTTACAGCTCAGAACTACTGATCCTGTCAACAAAACCAACTGGCTGATTTAAAATTCTCTAACAGTGACGGACTGATGCACAAGGACTCTGCAGGATATAAAAACAACAAGCAACACAACCAAAATTAGAGCCAACATTTCAGGTCCTCAGTCATGCTGTTCTTCCAAGGACGATTTGTCACAGATATCTTTACTTCCTTTTTCCCTTCTCTATTTTCAGACACACAAACTACACCCCACTTAGTACCACTATTTTCTTCACAATTTTTTATCCAAAAGGTGATTTTGCAGCTACTACTGTAGAATGTGCATGACTATGAGCAAATCAATACACACTATCCTCCAGCCAAACATCTGCCCGGTTTTTTTTGAGACTAGAAAAAAATCCAAGCAAAACACAGTCCTGCACCCTGTACAACTCCACATGCACTGAACTGTCTGTTCTGCTATTAAGAAAAAGGGGCAGCTCCCACACAATGGGGGCTTGACGTTTTCAATCCTACCTGAAACCACCTCAGACCACTGAGCAACCTTCTGTGTAACATGAATATCAAAGATCTTAATCAACTGTTTTCTAGGGTATCAGACAGGAGGTTGGTTTTGCTTGGCTGGGATTTTTAAAATAGTTTTATACAGAAAATTCACATGAAGAACACTATCTATCCACACTCCTCCTATACATGCATTCTTCTAATCCTCTCAAAATCATTAAGTGTGAGAATGTGCACATCTGGCGAAGTACTATCCTCAAAGTCTTCAAAATACAATATTTCATTTTCCAACCCTCTATACAACTTACAGAATATTTTCCACTTATGCTGCAGATAAGCTAAAAAACCCCAACTATCCAGCTCTTTTTGAGTTACGCAGCAAAGAACTGTTTTTCTAGAAAAACTTGCTTAAATTTCTTCAAATCTTCAGAACTGTAATCATGGTTTTACAACTTTTAAATTTACCATAACTTACAATTTACACTTCTGATCAATTACTTTAATAAAAATGATCTTTAATGTGGTTACAAATTATCCCAGGACATACTTTTCCCTAGCTCACTATTAATTTGAGTCTATAATTCTACTGAAAAATTGTATGTCAAAGCTAAGGGATTTTTTGTGCATTGTGATCCAAGAATCCTCTACCATTCAGCTAACTACTTCAAAGCAGCACTGAAATTCAGTAATGAATCAAATACAGGAAATTTAGTGTCTACTCAAAGATATCAAACTGGACCTCTGTCCTGAAACGGGTCAGTATTTTAGGTATACCATTTCCCTGCCAAGTACTGTGAGTAATTCTGAACCTACACATGGAATTCAACAGTTTAGTCAAAACTTCTCTTCAGTGCACAGACCTGCACTGGAACAGGACATGCTCATTAATACCCAAATTCAACTGGAACACCAAGTATGACTGAGCAACTACATACAAAGGAATACAAGGAATACAGAATACCACTCCATTAAGGAGGACTAAGAAAGAAAATGCCAGCAGATTTTACAGTTCATCCACATCAAGGATGATTCTAGTAAGAGAAAACTGCTGTCTTCTGCTACAATGCTGAGGAATCTTTAAAGAACAGGTCCACTATTTTACTATAGAATCCCTTAACGATAAGTCAAGCCCACAATACATGGGAATGACTTCAAATGATAAATACACAGATTTCAGTGCTGACACACAGGTCATTTACTAAAATGAGTCATGTTTAGAGGGAACCATTATCCTTGAGAGACTTTCATGGTCCAGTTATACAAACCTGTATTTCAGGTCTTGTATGGATAAATAAAGATACTGTATCTCCAATTCAAGCTAGCAGCATCTTTCAGTCTTCAAAAGCTGATTACCTGGCAGTACTCAAGAAAAACTTAAAAGACACTGGCTTGATTTATGAAGTAGGATACCAAGCAAACAGACAGTCTGGGTCATCTACAAGATCCATGTACAACCACTTACCAGTGTGCATGAGTCATTTCACTGCCTTCGCAGTCTTAGGTTTAATTCTATTTGTTACTCAAAGTAACAGCCCCTAAGACAAGGGTCTGAAAAAGGAGATGGACTTTGCCGCTCTATATGTGAGTTGGAAAATAGGTTATTTTCAAGTCACTGTTCACTGAAAAAAACAGGAAAGTGTTCTCTGTGATTAGCCAGGTCACACCACAGCAGCAAGAGGCACTTTGGAAAACAGTATTACGGTTCTGACGGGCATACTCAGGAGTGTTCTAGCACTTTCAGATCACTCATACTTGACAAGGTATGACAAAATCCAGAGCACCAAATGTAGCACCACATGCAATTTGTTCAGCTCAGTACTGTTACCCTCAGAGGCTTGCCACATGGATTATCAAAAAAAATTTCTTCAGCAGCAAAAATAGAACTGATTGGGCTCAGCGAGTCCAACTTTCAGCTCAGTTCTCCCAACAGTGATTGGTGTAATTGTCTGTGCTGCGAAAAATCTGAAAGTCAAAGGGTGAGCGACATGCAATTCCTACCTTCCCCCTTTGGCACAAGCTAATGGGGACAGAAAATACAGTAGTGTAGGAAGCACAAACAGTACTTGAGAGCCCACAGACCACATGAACTTCCTGTTGGACAGCCTTCCTGTTCATTAGATCTTCTACTACTACCATTTGGCATTGAATTAAATCTAGCAGAAATCTTTTCTAAGTGAATCTTAAGAGAAATTATATCTTCCACATTATGTTTTGGAAGCAAAAAGTTCTCATGATTTACACAGTCAAATTACACAGGTCCAGACATCAAGAGTTCTCCCTTCAGGCAAAGAACTCAATCTGAACTAGAAAAAGAAATTAACATCACAACTGCCATTCTGTTGACTGTCATGGCATATTTTAAATTTTGCATGTTAAGAGCAACTATTTTTCTCTCAGTGTCTTTCTTTTTTAAATTGCTGGCTAACACTCCTCTTCAGAATTGCTCCCAGAAACTCCATCTCAACACCTTTTGACTAAGCTATTATTTAATCAGAGCAAATGCAAGACCAGTGTAACCAAGACTTTGCTTTCCAGAGATAGCTAAGTAGAAAGATGGCAGAGCTCCAGACAACAAATGAAATTAATTTAAAAAAGACAGTGAAAAATACTCACAACTTTGCACTGAGGAATGTGAGCTGAACTAACAGATAATAAATTGAAAAGAAATAGTTAAATAAACCAGGAAGAAGCAAAATTGAAAGGCCTATCACATATTAAACATTACGTGTTTGGGAGTTCTATGGTCCTTTTCTTAGTCTGACACAATTCTTGAAGTAAATAATCATTATATATATTCTGTTTCATTTAATCACTTATTCTGCGCCAAAATATAGTTATGTTCTAGCAAGTAATTTGAGATCAACATGGTAGAAGGCTGGTTAAGAGCAATTAAGCACGCTATTGACCTTAAATCTAAATGCTTTTAATATTCCACGAGAAAAATTAGTGCAGTTGGAAGAGGGTGAAACAGTCACCAAACCCTCCAATGGAAACAAACACACAACCCAAACTAGACACTTCTACATCTCTGTCAAATAGATATACCAGAGAAAGCACCACTAGTGCTCAATATACAGATCTACAACTACAGTATCATTACAGAAAATGTCAAAACAATCAACCAGCAAATGAATTTCATTTTTAAAAGTCATCTCAAGCAAAATATTTGAGAAAACAAAGCTAGCCACAACATAGGACCTGCAGTTTAAAAACAGCTCTAAAGTGTTGCAAAGCAAATGCTATTTAAAAAAAGGCACCATATGTATGAAAGCTAATTCTGATGCTTCAGTAACTGGAACACAGAAAATAAATTACAAGAAAAAATTGCATACAATCTGAAAAGCATTAGGAAACAACTACCAAACAAGAAAAACAACAGCTTCATAAAGTAGATCAAAGTTGAACTACAAAACCTAGAAAACAGACTTTCAAATAGTCTGATTGAGGTACTTAAAAGATGTTGTTTCCCCATGATCAAATACAGATATTTCTAAGTATTACTGTAAAGCTGATTACTAGCATGAGCACCATTAAATGCCTTTAAATAAATGCACAACACAAAACTTTAGTCTGTTTTTTAGCAGGGTTCAGGGCCTTCAGCAGTATGTGGTTTCAAAGACATGTGGATTGTTTATTTTTAATTTTTGGGGTAAAATAACCCCCATCTCACGCAAGACATACAAGTCTCCTACAACATTCTACTATGCAACAACAGCAAAAACCTGCACACTTACCCATTTTTTTGTAGTACTCCTCCCAGGCCTTGGTATAGTCAACCTGCCCTGCTGGTGCTGGATTTGGCTGATCTCCTGAATTACATTAAAATAGTCAAAATAAAACTACTGAGGTTTATTTCATACATAATAAAAATAATCAAATGAATTTTTCAGCAGCAATCCCAAATGACATCACACAAATCTGACACTATAAATCTTTGTGGTACAAGCTGCTACAAATACAAACCATTAGTAAAAGACATCACAAAGAAACAAAAAACCCACTGTATAGTGTTTAGCACGTTTTCAAGATGCAGGAAATGCACACCACTCACAATACATCATAATACCAAAAAATAAAGTGGTAAGCCTCATTCAGGCACAGCATTTGTAATAACACAACTAAATACCACAATCGCAATTGTCCTAAACCAACTTGAAGTGCTGTAACTGTTTAAGCAAATGACAACAAGTCTGGCTCATTCCATTTTTAGTTATGACTGACTGCTCTATGCACTCATTAATTAAGTCAGCCCAAGTTGCAGCAAAACTCTATTTGGAGTATAATGCAAGATAAATACATTACCCTTATTACTGCTGACATTAAGAAAAGCAACACTCAAGGCTGTAAGCAACAGTTTTTCCAGGGCAACCAGCTACTTAAAATCAATGTACCCAGTATATGAAGGCAACAATAAAAAGCAATAGGGCATTTACATCTCCAGCAGTGAGACATGTGCCTGTTTTACTACACAGCTACCTTGTCCATTAGTTTGGGTTGTAGCTGGTCCACCAGGAGGGGCTGCAGGTGGTGGCTGTGCTTGCTGCTGATAGTAGTGAGCATAATAAGCCGCCCACGCCGCTGAATTGGGATCTGTTCCTGGCTTACCTATGAAAACAAAACATAAGCATTTATAAAAGTAATATGAACAGAATGTTGTCCTCAATTAATCCTGTCCTAGGCACTCTTATTCTCCTCCAAGGAAAAATCCATCTAAACAACATAACCACATACATTCTCTAGATAACTTTTCTTACTAGCACAAATTTCTGAACAGGTTTCAGACCAATATACTGTACAAAGTGTACTTCATAGGGCAGGTGATATAAAATAATTCTAGAACCCTTACTACTACAAATGCCATTTATTAATTTTTAAACGTGATAAACAAACACATTCGTCAAGTTTATTTCAACAGTCGTGTTAATAAATGGTAGCAGCAATGAATCACTATAGCACCAAACAGTTTCAGTGGTTTTACTTCTGTTATAACCTCACGCTAATGGCACTGGCACCGGTGGAGGAGGCATGCCAAATACATATTTCTGAAACAGAAGAATACAAATCTTACTAGGTATTTGCAATGCTTTTCAGTTAAACTTTAAGGTCACAGTAAAACACAGAATCACACAGCATTTTAAGCACCTGAATCCCCACACACAGCTACTAAGCATCACTGTTTACTTACAGCTTTTTAGTATAACAAATAATAGCAACATTTGCATCTTCTGCAGCTATCTCCATGGCTCCTTATTTTTATCTACATCTAGGCAGGCCAATGATGCTGTTTCCTAGTTTTATTTGTTTTTCACACACAGCCTTTAGGAATGGCTTATTCTTGCTGGATCACAAACTGATTACATTACTAGAATGGCAAATCCACAATATCTGAAAATCTACTATTAGAGAACATAACGTTTTCACAACCAGCATACATTTGCATACAACATTTGTATTCTTAAAGCGTAAAAGAATCTGCAAATAAATGTGGCCAACTGAGGACAGAATCTCACATAAGGACATGGACACAAGCAATACTTTAGAATAACTACACATCAGAATGGAAGTATAATCCCCCCAAAACACCAAACAGGTAAGGCAGTGAGAGTAATGGAAGAGAAAGAAAAAATCCCCTGAAAAAGGCATTCAAGGAGAAGAAATCCACAATAAATCAGTGCTAAATGAAATACTGCCACAAAAGTCAGATGTAACCACTTCAAATGCACACAGTAGTATCAGCAAACAGAAAAAAATGTTAGCACTGTTTCCTCTTTCAATTGCACTGTTTCCATCAACAACAGTGGATTTAAACTAACACGTGCTATATTCTAAGGTTACCTGCAAATACCAAATAAGCCACTGCTCGACTCCCCCCCTCTTTCCCCTTAGAGTAGCTACTTCTCTAGAGTAGAAGAACACAGAGCAGGATTCATTAAATTTCCAAAGAAATCTGACTGCAGTAACTAGCTCCACTTTGACGTGACATGGTTCTGGAGAAAGTACTTCTGAAAAAAATACTAAAATAACCCATTCGTTACACTGAAATGAGCAACTAAGTGAAAACTGTACAAAACTCAGCCAAACAAATGCTAGACAAAAGAAATACCAACTTCAACTGCACATACAAAAACTTCATTAGATTTTCAGGTGTATTTATCCAAAAATGATTACAAAATCATAAGATGATATCAAGGGAGTATTTGCCATTTTTTCTCACACATCCTTATGCAGATAAATTACGTCACAAAAAATTGAAAAGGTGGTATGAAAAAGGCTGTAACATTTCAGCAGTGGTTTTGATTTAAACAACACTTTTGGTATGCTGAGACTTTAAGTCACTTTGAATCATTCTACTTTTCAATAATGACAATAGGCATTTTTAAATACTGAACTGAATGCATGCAGAGCTACCTTACACAGAAGTTTGGGAACTGAAACCAAAGATGGTTCTTTGCAAAGACATAACATGTGATATATATCCTCCCCTTTTCCACTAATGGAACCTGTATTAGGAACAGTGACTGTTAGAAAATATTCATTCCATTTATAAAAATAATACGGATATCTTTTGGCTGAAGTTATGAGGAAGCTCTACCTCAAACAAATGAGGTACAAGAGACTCAAGTATCTAGCCTTACCATGCCTTCTGTGGCAGCAGTTCCATTTCCCCATATGCTCTAGGCCAACCAAAGGATGGAAACTTAAAGAAAAGCAGGATACTACAACTTCGGGAAGTTGTAATTAAGTAAAAACTCCCAGTCTTGACAAAGATAAACAGAAATGGAAGAACAGATTCTACAAAGATGGGTTTCTGAAGAGAATACAAAACTATTATAAGCAAAAGCTCAAAATACACAGTCCTAACTAGCTTTACTGTAATAGCAGCAGTTCAACAGAGCTTTTATCCCTCCAAAAGGGACTCAACAAAATACTCTTCTATCAGACTGAGAAGCAATCCTCATGGGGCAACAAAAGCTCGAAACATAATACAGGTAAACTGTGCAAAGACAGAGCAGTGAGATTGTTCAGAATAAAATACAAAGTCTATAAGAGAAAGAAACTATTAGAGAAAGAAAGCACAACCTCATTAAAGAACTTTATGTAAAAACATAAATGGTAAGAAAATTGAAGTGAATTGCATAAAATCAGCGAACCAAGACTCTTGCAAAAAGTATCATTAACAGGGATGCAGTATCAGTAATGTTCGGGAAAAAAAAAGCATATTCCAACTGTAAAAATTAAATTTCAACATCTCACAAGCAACATGTGGAAAGTGTAAAACAGGAAAACTGACAAATCAGTAAAGAAAAGCCTGAAAAATAGGAGCTTTTTCAGATTTAGAAGTGAAACACAAGCGAACTGTGCAATGTATATACTTGTAAGGACAAAGTGGATGTACTCGAAATATACCCACACTACAGCACAACTGTGACATTTCCTACCTGGATCTGGTGGGTTTGGTGGCTGCCAGTGTGGATAAGCATTTCCCCATCCTTGTGGAGCATATGGAGCTGGAGGGCCACTATAAAAGATCACCTACAGTGAAAGCCAGTCCCAGGGCAAGCTTACAAAGAAGGAAGGTAGCTGAAGCAGTACTTACTGAGGTGCAGGGCCAGGAGGCCCTGGATTGTAAGGAGCTGGGTTATATGGTCCCATGGGAGCGCCAGGACCTGGTGGCCCAGGAGGTCCATGTGGGCCAGGAACAACACCATGGGGTCCATGGGGAACAGGTGGACCCAATGGATTCACTGGACCCTGTAACAAGAGTAGCACAGAGATTAAAACAAACCTTGAAGTTCTCAGTGTTTCAACAGTTTAGAACCATTTACCTGAACACTCTAAGAATATAATCTGAAAGATGCGACTGTTTTTAAATAAATACATTTTCCTACAGAAAACAAGCTTCTTTAAGATTGATTAGGCTTGGGGCTAGTTACGTAAGAGAATTTAAAGCAGATGTAGCAGTAAGAGCAACTAAAAAGTTGCATTTTTGTCAGTTCTTTCTTGAGAAAATAAGGAATTCTACAAGTACACATGGATTTTTCCACAAGTTCCATTAAAAACCCCCACACTAAAGACTACTGGTTTTAAAATAAACCAATACATGTAAATCTCACTAATCTTGCGAATCAAATGTTCGGAAGATCAGGTAGAAAAAGCCACTAGTAAAATGAATGATATGCACACTCATGCAAAGCAAAGTGCAGTGAAATTGAAGGGGTAAACTTAGATTAAGACTTTACCTGAGACTGAAAAACTAAGACACAACTTAGTAGCTTTTAGACTATCACTGAAATCTTTCAACTCATCCAATCTTTCATATGCACAAAGCAGGCACATTCAAAAATATACCATACTACACTGAAGAAAGCAACTGTTTCCATTTCAAGATTTTGTTTCTTTTGGTGCATCAAGTTATGTTTGAATTACTTAAAACCCAGATGACCATTTTTTATTATCAACTTATTATCTGTTCAAATCTCCACAAAGAAGACTTGCTTTCAGCTCTGTTTCGTTATAACAGCAAACCAAAACACAGTTATATACTCACTCCAATCTTTTCTTCTATAAGTTGTCTTGCATAATCTATTTGCTGAGGTGTTCCACGGATAGTAAACATCTTCATGTTTGGATCCGCATTGGGTGGAGGATTTCTCTGAAGTTCTATTCTAGCACCAGACTGCTGGCTTATACTTTTAATAGTTTCACCACCTGCAATGCAACAGAGTGTTTTTATGTCATGCATTAAAGCAAAAAACAGCAAGATTCAAATCATAGAAAGTAAACTGCATGGAAGCTGAGATAAAGAAGTGGAACTGCACCTGTTCTTACAAGCCATACAACAACATTCTAACAATTGCAATAACCTAGTTATTTTTAAAAGATGACGTTACTCAGAAACAACAGCAAAGAATTCCTACAAAGTTGCCTGGGGTTTGTTTTTTTCATTCATGTAAGCATGTAAGATTAGACAGAAGTAACAACTGACAATCAATGGTTATCAGTAAACACACACTGAAAGCCTAACCTCCCTATAAAGCAGTAGGCAAGTACCAATGACAAAAAACCCTAGAAGCTGACGAGATGGTTTTGCAGTGCACTGAAACCAGAAAGTTAAATTCCCTGAACTGCCTTATTCTCTCACAGGATCCAGACAAGTTATTTGTACCATCTGTATGCAAGAAGTTTTCAAAACGGGGCAATTTGGCATTTTAAAATAAAAATGTTAAAAAAAAAAATAAATTAAAATCAACCTTCCAAGTCAAGACCTGAATTATGTCAGTCTATTTGCTGTGCCTGGAACATACAGCACAAACAAGAGATTAAGCTAACTCAAGCATTTCATTTGGAAGTGTATAGTAGATTATTTTCAAAATAACACTGAGAATTATTTTAATGAACAAACACATCCAAGAAATTGCTACAGGGTATCACTGTAAAAGATTTTTACTGCAATATGTGAAAATCAGTTTTAAGTGCAAGTGAGATGCAGTAACACCAGGTTAATCATGCAGTACCAAATGCAATTCTAAGATACATCATCTAAGAATCTCCCAAACACCAACAATGTAACCCTGTCTTGACTACTTAAAAAAACCAGTTAGACAAATTGACTACTGGGGTGTGTGTTTTGCTGCGGAAAATCTGAAAAGAACATTAGTTTTCTGATTTAAGTGTGTTAACTGTGTTTCTCTGCTGTACATTAAACTACTTGCAAAGGGTTCTCCTGACACATCTCTGTAATATGGCATTTGTACCAATAGAAAGGCTGAGCATTTTTTAAACAACATATAGATAGACATATATATGATATATTGCCTTTGCCAATGATTAATCCAGTTTTGCCAGTGGGGACAATGAAATTGAATTCCTGTAATCCACCAGGAGGCCCCATGTTCCAGTTGCCTTGGCCTCTACCCCTTCCTCGACCACCAGGTCCTGGTCCACCAGTGTTACCAGCCTAAAACAAAGAAGCAACAAATGAGCGTTCTATAAAAGTTACTGCAAACAAATAATGCCAACAAGTTACATCACACCATTTGTTAAGAAAAAACTGATTTCCTACTCAGATAGCTTTGATAGTTAAAGAATGCAGAAAGTTTCACATGTACAAAGATGTAACTTCTGTCTGCCTCCTATAAATGCAGAGTGAGGCTCATCTCACAGCAAGCATTTAAACCATCTCTTAAACACTGAATACATCCAAAAGGAACAGCACAATAGCTATTAGCACAAGACAGAATCAGGCACATCAAGAACTGTCATGACTTTGTATCAGTATTATCGTTATCACTTACAAAACATTCATATTCCAGAGTGAATTCTGAAGTAGATTAAAATGGCACGATTAAATTATTTTCTTAGTTTTATATATTTCTTAAAAATTTAAGTCTTTCCAAAAGGCAGGCAGGAGATTTTAACTGGTAAGCAATGTTACACAACCTGAACACTTCGAAGGAGATCTGTAATGATTTCTGCAGCATGCTGACATCTGTCAGGAGGCCCCGTAACCTGGGCTATTCTATCTGGAGTTGTCCCATCATCTGAAATAAAAATGAACCATTCCAGTATATGCAATTTAGAAAATTTACATTCAATTCACAGAAACTTATAGACATATTACAAACCTGGCTTAAACTGGATTCTAACACCAGCATCATTCTGGATCTTTTTTATCATCTCTCCATTTCTTCCAATTACAATACCTACAGCAAACCGTGGTATTGGAACCTTAAAAAAAAAAAAAGAAAAAAAAGAATCAAGATGTTGATGTTACATATACTCCTGCCAAATCCACACAGTGAAAGGGTCACACATTAGAATAGTAAACTAGGGCAACACCTATGCCACTTCAGTGTGAATTTTTAATACCAGGTCACAAGCAAACACTGGACAAAAGCACCAAAAAGAAAGAGATCCTATGCACTACAAGCTCTCATAGCAGCAGCTATTCCAGTGAGTATTATGCTTCTCAGAATCAAAGAAAGGGTTTAAAATACAGATTGCAGCAGATGACACTTTAAGTCTTTCCTCTGCTGAGCAGTTATGCAAGTCACGAGCTAATAACAGGTAGACTTAAGCATCCTTCTGCAAAGGCCGAACTCCAAATCCAGTAATAACTTACTTGGCCATAAAACTCACATATTTGATAAAAGGTTTGAGCTAGCTGAAACTGCTCAGAACTGCTGGTAATGTAAAGTGAATGCCACACCCCATTTAGAGTCAAGATCTCAGCAACGATCAAGCAATACTTACATGCCACAACCGCTTTTGAAATCTGGTTAAGAGCTTGCAGCATTATTACCCGGATCAACATTTTAAAGTTAACATCTCAAAATACAGTGAACAAGTTTTTCAACCATGCTTACGTCTATCCCTTCATTTCCTCCTATTCTTGACCCATACTCGTTGCGCACCTCTCTAAAGCCACCTTGATCGCGAATTAACTCCAGCACCATTTCCTTGGCTTGCTGAAAGAAGAATGAAACACCATTTAGGTACTGCAACATCAAAATGGATTTAAAAATGCACAGAATTGTGAAGGACTCCTTACTTGTACTTTATAGGGGTCTCCAGTTATCCTAAGGGGCTTGTCTGCACCAGTGTTCTGTGGCCCATCTTGAATCATGACCATTTTGACACCTGCTCGCTCCTGTTTGACAGAAGGGAGCTCAATATCCACTCAAATCCACATCTGATATTATCACATTTAATAGAAGATACATGCATACCTGTAACTGTTTAATTGTCTCTCCACCTTTCCCAATAACTAATCCTGCTTTACTTGCTGGAATCATAATTTCTTGGACTGCATTTCCAGGTCCATCACCATGATGAAAGCCAGGTGCAGGTCTTCCCTTTTCAACTATCTGATCAAGTAATCTTTTTGCCGATCTGCAAAACAAAATACACATTTCTAAACACTTATTCCTGCAAGTCCCACTTGCCCACACCTATTCTGCTTGGAACTTTTTAACATTTGAAGTTTCTGCCAAAGAAATACGATTACCATCACTAAGAAATTTAAGGTGAACTCAATAAATCTGCAACAGTAACTTAAGAAAACAACTGCAAGTTAATATCACTATCAGAATACAAAAGGCTGTTCTTTACCAAACATGCTCAACTAAGTTATCTCCTTAAACATGACCACCGTCCCTGAATATAGTTACGCTGATCAAAGCCTATGTCAGAACAGCTGCTGCTTGATTCAGCAAGCAGAGTAAGGACTTCTGTACTTGTAACCATGACCAGAATAGTGGACAAAAGCAAGTATAAATTCACCACACGCCTACATCTCTTGTCATCAAAGTAAACTCACCATTACAGTCCTAACATCAATTACAAACTCTTCCCTCTTAATATATGAGCAGAATAAACTACAATTAGAAAATTCGAATCCAGGAAATGACTTCATGCAAGGCAGCCTGCTTGGCTGACACTTCAGAGAATGCCACGCCACCTTCCCAAAGGAAAAATGTAGCCGCAGGCCCTACCTGAGAACATGAAGTGGGAGCAGCTAACACAGATGAGGTAATACCAATATACAACTACACTTCAACATCTTTCTTAGCAAAGCCACTATAAGCTGATCTTCAAGGTGTTATAGAACCTCGGTGTCAGTAAAAAAACCGACCACCCCCAATAAAAAAACCCACCACAACAACCCACCCCCAAAACCACTGAACATTTTCACTGCTATCACCTTCCTGACCACAGAAGGCAAAAGTTAACTCTGCTGATAGATATGACAATGACATCACTTTCATAACTTTAGTTGTTCATTAATTTGTTCCAAAGCCCTTTAAAAACTCTGAAGGGTTGCTCTCTAACTCCTACTGCTATGCAACTGATTTTCCTTGCAATCCTCCAATTTACGGTTAAAAGCTTATTTTCAGCATACATTTCTGTTTAGTATGCATTCACAGCTTTCATTCTCAAGCTGAAATCAGTGCATAGTTATGTAATTATTATCTACAAGATCTGGACTTGAATAAACTGAAGTTTCACATTTCTGCCCAAAACCTCAAAGCATGTTGAGATATCTGACCACAGGTTCCAGGCCTTTTGCCTTCTGTATATGTTTAATTGTCACCAAACTGCCTCTTCAATAGATGAAAAACATATACTATCGAGATATTACATTCAGACCTAATAAATGAAGTGTATTGCACAGTGAAATACACACACATAGAATTTGTTTTACTTACTGAACAGACTCTGGTGTTCCAGTTAGCATACAAGATCTTTCAGGAAGGCCTCCACTATCTGTGGTCATAAAATTAAACCAATTTATCAGTAGCATTAAGCGAAAAAGAGATTGTGAAATTAATTATAATACACAAACTACTGGAACTTTAATTAAGTAGAATAATCAAGTGTATCACAACATTTTCCACTTCTTTAGATGTGACAGTCATGACTAGCACAAGAATTTTAACTTCAGTGAAGATGCAGGTAATTAGAAGCAACAAGCAATCTTGCGAACTTTCTGCCAAAAACCCAACCAAAATAAACAAAAAAGAAACCCCCACAAATAGTTACCAGGTGCAATCTGTATTTTACAGCCAGACTCCTGCTGTATGCGCGAGATCTGCTCTCCACCTCTGCCAATTACTTGGAGAAAGAAAATATAAAAAAATTATTTTTATTAACAGCATCTGCTAACATCCTTCACTATACTACAAGACTACATCTATACTACTTACTGAATCCAACCATCCCATCTGGAACTTTGTACTCCTCTGTCATCACAGACCTACAGGAATGTTAAAACAAACAAAAGACAATGACCAAAATGGGCATTAAATTTATACATACCCAATCAGTAAACTCAAGCAAGCTACTCCCCCACTATGCCTCTGGCTACTTGCCTCCCATCAACTTTTAAAGTCATTAAGCAAGCACAGTACTAAGTAAACCACATAAAAAGGGACACAAAAGGTTCAAGTAAAATACAAATCAATCCTAACTTCCCTATTACCAGATGTGAGGTACAGAAAAGGCCAGAGCGGCGTTTTAAGTTTCATCTGTATATCCACCACAGTATGCTGAAAACTTCAGCATCTCATCTACCAAAACTATCCAGAGCACTAGGACAATAGTTGGATGTGGTTCTTTATGGAAGAAATGAGTGGATAAAACTAACACGTTGTAGCAAATGTAGCTGAGTAATACTGTGTTGAAGTTTGATTTATTTTTTTTAAATAC